ACAAAGCAAGAAAATGGTGAATCAAGAGAGTTTCATCAGGCAGAGAATCACCAAAGCTAGTGAGCAGCTTAAGAAGCAGCATAAGGAGAATAGAGAAAAGGAAATTACTCGGATTATGTACCAGTGTTTGATGGGTGAAGGGCTGCAGAATTTGATGATGCCAGATTTGAATGATCTTGGGTGGTTGCTCAATCAGAACTTGAAAGAGATTAACAAGAGAATTGATGAGCTCGAAAAAACTACTACTCCACCTCCTCCACAGCAGTTTGCACCGCCGCCACCACACATACCAACAGGTAATTTGTATATGCTGGAGCAGAAATCGACGGTGGATTTAACAATGGATGCCATGGAAAGGCTACAATGGTTCACAGATTGGACGAACAATCCCAGTGATCATCAGCAAATGAATTCTTTTGGACATGGAGATGAAATGATGCTGCCATTTTGTGAGAATAATCACAATACAATGTGGTCTAATGCCTTCTTCCTTTGATGATCACCTGGAATTCAAAATATTTCCTTTTCCAAGTCTGATGATGCATTTACACATTTTAAAGTCATAATTCTACGTGTTTTTTTTATCATTAATTTCGAGACTTTTGCTTCTTGTTTTATAAGTTTAATGTGAAAATTTTTTTTATTTCAGATATGATTGAGCGAAATCTCCATTTAACTTGTATATTTTGCTTTTTTCTTGTTAATTTTTCAGCTTTACATTTGTCAAATCATTTTAGAATATATGGTATCCAAAAACTTCAATTTTTTGTAGCACTTGAGTTCCGATGGAGTATGCCACAACCATGTCGAATATTTTAGTGTCCGTGACACTTAGCACTTAGGTCTCTACATAAAATTTCCGTCCAATAAATTGTAAAAACATGAGTCCTTGGTCTTTTGCTATCATTCACTTGGCATTAAATTGGGAAATGGTATTGAACTTTCAAGAATCCAGAGGTACATCAAGACCTATAGTAATTATTCTTATAAGCGACTGGCATACTATTCTCATTTCTACCTATTTGCCAAAACTTTGATTTCCTATAATTTCCATGTAGTTGACTTCTTGATTTTGTCCAATCATTAATAATTTCAATTTTTTTTCTTTAATAATTGATTTATATAAGACTAAGTCACGTAGAATTTTCTCATTAGGGCCAGTTTGATCTAGATACTGAGATCTCTGCATATATGAGATTTTCTTGTAAAATAATATTTATTTTGAAAACTTGAATGGTTCCAAGTAATGAAAAAAGAATTAATATAGTTGATCCTAAATTTATCGGTACAAAATTTGAGCCTACTTTCATATCCATTACAAGATACGATCTTATTCTCAATAATATAGTTAGCTACATGAATAAATTGTCGTTGTAATCAATCTTAAACTATGTTTGATAAGAGTTTAAATATATAAATTATAAACAGATAGAAATTAATAGTGAAAAGTGGATAATAAATTAGAATTTTTTTAAATATATAAATAAAAAATAATTTGATTGATTATAAATAATTTAAAAATATTAGCCATAGAACTTTTTTTTTTTTTTGGAGAATAATTTGACACCTATTATTTGAAAAATTAAAGAGTTTTGAATAGTATTTTGGAGAATGTGTGGTTAAAATGTAAGGAAACTTTATTGATTTGTATGTAGAATATTTTACTATGCGAACTGTGATGGAGAATGATATGGTAACATACAATTTAAATTTATAAAGGTTGTCATACAAGGGCTTATTGAAATTCATTCCCAAAGATAATTGATGTGTGAATTGTGGAACTAAAGATGGGACGTGGTTTTACTTATTTGATGGAATAGCAAGAAAAGTAAAGATGGAACTAAAGATGGGACGTGGTTTTACTTATTTGATGGAATAGCAAGAAAAGTAAAGTGTATATAGTTTATTTTATTTTATATAATGCCCTCCATTAATATGGAAATTTTTAATTTTAAGTTGAAGTTAATAATTAAATTTAACTACACATTCTAAGAGTTCCACACCTTTAAATCACACATTTCATCATTTTTTAATTATAATATGCTAAAAATTTGATTTTAATCTATACTAAACAGGCATCTCTATTTTATTTGGTGTTAAAAGTTTTGATTCTGAATTTATAATATATGGTCAACTTGACTATTGATTGGATTAAAAAATGATGAATTAATGTTTATTACCTTCGTTTCAAGAAGAAACCTATTTTTCGAACAGCCCA